AAATAAAGGTTCAACTTACCTACAGGTGATGGCATAATGAGCAGCACATAGGAAGAAAAGAAAAAAATGGTCGTTAGAATAAATTGAAACCAATGATTTATACACTTATGGTAAAAATGAAGTTAGCATTTTTGCTTTGTTTATCATCTATGCACAGCCTCAGTTTACATCCATGTAGTGGGAAGGGGGCCACAATCCAAGATTTCCGTGTCTGAGATTTAATGAGGCTCTGCAGGTTTGTCCGTATTCTCTAATCTGGATTAACAGATGTACGACATGGTGATGATGAGCTTATTTCAAAAGTATGGAAATATGTTCCAAACGCTCTAAAACGGTTACAAAACATTTTCATTGAGCATCTAAAAGAAAATCAGCTGTGAACAAGCTGACCTGCTCAAATGCTCAAAACGTAGAAATAGTTTCTTAATGGCATTCAACCAGACCCAATTCTGGGTTGGATTGCAATAAAATATGAGTGCCAAGGTATAGTGACTATTTAGGTTAATCTGTGTGCCACACTGACATACTGTACACCCCCCCCTCCCCCCCCGCCCCTCCAAATAAATACCACTAAGCCTCACATCACCCAACGTTCTTGTTAACATGTTCTGCATTAACCAAATGCCAAAATCTTGATTCTGAATCAGAAATCTGTTGCATTTCTTTTACTTGCTTCATGTAATGTAAATAGAAAAAACCTGCTTATAAGAATAAATAATGCAACTACATAAAAAAAAAACACTGTCTATAAGTTGTGCTCTTGTTTGATCATTTAAAGGGGTTATCTTTTGGTTAATGTTCACAGCCAATGATAAATATAATACATTCACATTTTACACAATAAGAAAAAACAAATGGAAAAGTAGCTGCTGACTTAATTGGGTTTATTCAATCATAAAAAAACTTTGATCTGGATCCCTAACTGATCCTAGACAATCAAGAGAAGACCCTCTCTATAGACTGAGAATAAATGAATAAAGCCTAAAGAAAGAAACATATGAAGCTGGTTTACCCCCATCCATTCTATCAGGCAAACCATATTGGAAACAAAAAAAAACTGTTTTTATTTCTATATAATTTCACAGTAAAACAAACCCAGCATATTATGAGAGATGAACAAATGAACAAATGAGAGACTTTCTGTTTCAGCAGCTTTATATAGCAAATCAATGCCTTTCATTTAGAAAGAAACGACACAAAGATATAAACTTTCTTAAAAATAAAACACTGATTATATGTTTCTTTCCTATTTTAGTTCCTTTGTTCTGTTTCCACCATAATCTCATTAAAGGATTATTACATGTATTTATGACTACAGAAGCTCATTCCTCTCAAAAGGCTGTATGTAATTAAATAATTAAGGCACAGTGAAGCCTTATATGAAAGCGTTTTTTCTTTTTAAATAATGAACACATTTATAGATGATTAAAATACTTAGAATATCTTTTTTAAGTCAGTTAAATGTTTTTTCCAATACATTTCTTTACTTATTTAAAGTAAGAAACACTTTTTACAATAAGTTTTCTTGTATTTCTATAAATATTCTTTTATACCTTTATCTTATAAATTAACCCGTCTGAATTCACCAAGGCGGCCAATGGCGGCTTGTGTACCAGACGGCTCTTTTACACAACAAGCAGGACCAGGAAACAATCAGCTGCATACCTTGCCGCGGTTGTTATTACCCTGACAACCCTGACAAAAAAAGTCAAGCGACAGACTGCGTCCCAAAATTGCAGGCTTTGGTCTTGAAGGCAGTAATTTTAAAGCTATATTTACTCTGGGGCAGTGTGCATGGCGGCCCACGTGTCTTGTAATTGGTTCTGGTACATGCGCAGATGTGAGATCCAGTTGTTATAAATACATATGTTTCAAAGTGGGGAATTACTCTTATGTTTCCTCTGGAAAGTACACTGGGTATGTATTCTCTGGGTGGAAACGGTTTTAGGGTGACCTGTCTATGACTCCGTCTCTGGCCTTGCGTTAGCTATTAAAAGATCTAAACAGTGTGCAACAGTAAGAAAGGAAGGAACCGAGGCAAAAGGGAAACTCAGATCAGGACAGCAAACCATTTGAATGGGAGAAACGAGGGGTTTTAACAGTGTTACATGTAACTGTAAAAACTGGTTGGTACACCCCATCAGATCAGGTCTTACTGAGGACTAAATATTACTTTAACTGACTTCAAGATTTGGTAGTACAAAAAAAAAGAAGCAAATAAATCAAAGGATTAATAGGGAAAAATATTTGTTTCTAATCATGCAAAAATTATGCAAAAAAAGAAAACAATCACACTTGGAACCAGATTCAACAATTTAGAGATTTTCAACTACAGTAAAGCCATGCTGAAGGTTATAAATTAGTCAACAAACCGGTGACGCAAATTCAAGCGCTGCCAAGCTGTACATCTTACGGCGACTTAAGCTGAACAACTTCTGCAAAATATCCAAAAAATCATCAATCCATGATTGTATAGCACAACCATTTCAATCAGAAAACCACATAAGCATCGCAACAATGCTGTTAGAAAGCCCTTTGACCAACAGAAGAATTTCAGGCTCTTAAATTACTCCAGATATGTGCATCTCTGTGTTCCTTTAGGAAATGGGCATGTTCAAACTTAACAGGGAAAATTGAGACGCCAATAAACAGCATTTCTGTCAGGCGAACTGGTCTGTGGAATAAAATGATCCATGATTTGTTCAGAGAAATGAAGATTAAAAACATGTTCCAGTTTGCAGGAATTTAGAAAGGACTAAACCAACAAAGACAACAATTTTAGCAAAAATAAGGCTTATTGACTATTTTAGTACTATTTGCTGAACAGCCAGTACTACACCACTGAAGCAAGATTAACTCAAAGGACAAACTACGAATTTTAAGTACTTTGATTTTTAACAATACATTAAGGTTAGAAGCATACATATTCTATGTCGCAAGGCCTTATTTATTTCCATTTCTTAATTGATTTTTCAAATATCAAAGGTTTCAAAAATCCCAAAAAGTAAATAAAACATGTTTTTCAGAGTTATATACCAGTGCAGATTTGTTAAACTGATAAACACCAAAGCTTATGCTCATTTTAGCGCCATTAGCAAGTAAGTGTTGGAAAGTTCTTTGCACCATTTGCACTACCCCTCTGACACCGATCCGTGCCGACTTCAGACCGAGCTTGGTTCAGTTCACCTTGCCAAGCAAGGTTCCTTACAACCGATTACACATCATGCTAGCACAGTTCCTCCCCTTCTAGTGACGATCTACAGTACTGTAATGATTTAAGGAGGAAGAAGGCAGCCTTTGGTCGCACCACTCTTTTTAAACAATTTTATAAAATGTAGTGTTGAGAAGATTTCAATTGTTGATTACAGTTCCTCTTCTTCTTCTCTTTCATGGCGGTTGATGGGCAACTTACTGATATGCATTACCGCCAACTACTGGAAGCGGACTGTAAAGGGCAGATTATACTTCTGCAACCCCACACATCAAATGTCGCTTGCGTCTGGTCGCAAACCAGTTTTGCTGCTATGCTTCTGCAACGTCGGTCTGGAATTTCTAAGGACGCACAGCAGTTTCACGCCAGAGTGCAAGCTTATTAGAGAACTTGCAAGAACTTCCATGGATCGCACCTCATCAAGAAGGACGGCAACACAGAGGCATACCAAGGACCGATTAAAGCTGCTTGTTGTCTGCACACTTCCGCTTGAGGTCTGTGTGGGTTTTTGACCGGCCAACGCGTAGTCATGATTTTTTTTTTTTAGGTGCACGCAGACGGATGCAGAACCTCTGCGCTCGGTCGCACAAAGAGACAGATTTGACGTTGCAGAGGCTATGCTTCAGAAGCATAAATTGGTCTTAAGGAGATGACGCGGTCTGCTCATGCCCTATTTGTTATCTGAGAACCGAGCCACAACTGAACCGTGCCGAGCCCTACTGATGAACTAGCACTAGATTTAGCGCGGTTGGGTTGTGTCTGGCACGGTCCAGTTCCATTTACACTCAACAGTTACCTTGCTCGGACCAGTCTCGGACATTGTTTCAAAAGGTTAGTCTAAATGGAGCTCTATTTTGCTACAGAATATAAGCAGCCAGTGTAACCAATTTAAAGCCCCTTGAATACTTCTTCAACAGAGCACTTATTTGATAGAGTTCATGTAGATCATCTAAAAGGGTAACAAAATAACTACTTCCTTTCTATTTCAAAATAAGAGTCTCTAACACGGTCAAGCAACCCCCTTCAAGTTCAAGACTCACAACAAAAGCTTGGATGTAGTTTTAAAAAAAACGGACAGCCCTTTGCAACCCAGATTACACTATGACAATAGTTATTGTGCCATTCCAATACCACGAGGTTCTCATTTAACTAACACTCACTACTAATGTAAAGAGGGGTCATGTTAATTAGGTAAGTCGCTTTTGAACTTTAATTTCATTAATGGTTATTGAAAGCTAGTTCAAAGTGTTCCATTAGGCTATTTGAAGAGCTGATTGATCCATGTAACCAGAAACACCCACCATCATTTAGTCAGTACATAATTAGACTAATCTGAGGTGAAACACTGAAGAACCTCTACGAGAAGCAGCCAATATGGCCTAATATGAGGTATAAACAGATGGGTTTCATTCATTCATTCTGAATGGTCAGCCATCCAACCATGACACACATCCTCTGCCTGGCACCAAACTCTGATAAGTACCAGCCAGTACCTTCACCATTTATATGACGTCCCCTTCTTCAGGTCTGACAGTCTTTATTTACCAATGGCACACGCACACAGGGCGCTCTTTGACCACCAACTGAATGTTGACCCTCTGACCAAACAGAGCTACCACTTAGTCACTATGGCAACCAGGAAGTGCAAGTTGTAAACATGGAGAGAAAGCGGCAATAAATAAATAGATGTCCTTTTAGTTTTCCATGTTAAAAAAAAATTAATAGAGAAAGGGTTTACAGGAGTGTGTATTATTATTTTTTTTTTTTAATCATCCATCTCAGCTCCCACCTATTTTGTGTTGGGGTCTGTACACCCAGTTGTCATGGTCCTCATCCTCTTCTTTTTGTGGCAGGTGAAGATGAGTCCGCGAACGCGAGCGGCGGTTTGGAGGCATGCGGAGATCGTTTTGGCTGTGGAAGAAACGCCTCCCCTGGTGGGCGAGCGGGGACATGCTAAGCCAGCTGAGAGCCCGTGACAGGCCTGCCGGCTTCTCCGGGTGGAAGGAAGCGGATCTTTGGTCTCCTCTCATCTTTGCTCAGAGAAACAGGTTTAGAAAGAGATCGGATGAAACCGTTTAAGATAATTATCCTCCTTAGAAACAGATCCAGTAGTTTAATGTCCGCTTTAGGAGTCCAAATGTTGAGTGGAAGCAATAAAGATCCAGGAACGTTCTAATCAGATTCCACATCAATGAGCAAACTTGTATCAGGAGGAACTTCATCAGTAAGACAGTTTGTTGTCTGAGTCCACATCACGGCTCCGATCAGGTTACACCCAACTTCCCTCACATCATCCTTTTACAAAACGGAAATGATCTTTTTTTAAACCATCCTTCCACATCTTTTGAATTACTTTTTGATTGACATTTTTTGGGCATGATTCCAAAACTTAAAGGAATAATTAGGCAATCCAGTTAGTTGGAAAAACATCCGCCCCTTTACTCGCTCATTTCATCGAAGGGGTGGAGGAAGAGATTTCCACACTTCTAGAGAATACTGTTTATCCCACAGGAATTGTTATTTACAACCGTGCATGCTTTCTGGTGCTGTCATCTCATGCTGTTGAGCTCATCAGCTGACACGCAAGCCTTCAGTGCTGCAGCAGACGGCGAGGTTAGGAGGTGTCTGTCTCCCCGGGTCTATTCCCAGCCTGATGAAGTTATTTGCATGCTCAGAGGACGGTAAAAACACCCTCACATATGTTTCCCTACTTCCAAACAGAGCTCTTCAGTCTTCTTCCACTTCTGCTTGTTTTTCCCTCCTGCACCGTCGATGCTGGTAACGGTAGAAGAGGTGAACAAAGCAGGAGGGATCCGTTTAAAATAAAGAAAACAAACGGCGAAACGTATAATACTCCAGGTGCTGAGAGCCGCCCAGATCTGGACCCTCAATTAGCTCATCAGCAATGCACCTGCTGCCCTCCAAAAAACACCAAAAAAAGATGGGTTAACAATCAGAGCCCACTCTGCTGAGGATCTGCTGAGAACTTTGTGCTCCAGGAGAGTCCAGACTTCCAGTGCAAAGACAGCGAGGAGCTCCAGGGAGTACACCCAACCATAAAACACACTAAACTGAAACACGAGTCGGCCCGTCCCTTCTTCCTTATTCCCTGCCTCTTTCTGTTTTTCTGTGATCCCTGATCTCCGCCCCTCCTCCTCTGTTAGCCAACATGGCAACCACTCCCCACACCCTCCTTCACACCTTTTACCTTTATGTTATTCACGCTCTCTAGACTCCTGAACTGTTATAGTGCTTTATTATATATTTCTGAAGCCCAAAAAAGCTTTCTATGTTTATACTCCATGTTTCAGAGATGTAAAAAGAGCAACTTAAAACTTCACAGCAGAACTGTTTTGGTAACTGACTTCAACTCCCTAATATGCAGATAGCTGGAAAACCTGTGAAGATCTAGCTGAAAAATCCGCTGACATTTTGGAGAAGCAGAAACTTTCATGAGCTCATAGTTACACACAGACCCTCAGGTACAACAGCTTCTATGATGCACTACATATTTGCAAGGGAGGTGGAGTTTTCCCACCTATCTGTGAATGCAGAGGAACCATGTGACCACCAAGCTGCGTGTGTGTGTGTGTGTGTGTGTATAAAAACAATGAGTTCTCTACAAAGTTTTTTTTTTCATAATTTCTAATTAATTCAATCATAAAGACTAAAGGAATTGTTAATCTGTCTGTAAAATAATCTGCATCTCAATGGGGTGGATTAAGTTCCATTACTGAAAGCTGATGCTTCGGTCATGTGGTGTAAACCAACACTCCTCACACCCATCGCTCTTTTATGTTCCCAACTTGAATTTATTGGACTTTTATTTAGAAATCTGTGTTGGCGGGACACCAAGCGCTTAGGACCAAACACCGCTTCATCCGCACTGACAAATATGGCTGTTTTCGGGACCTTTGTCCAGAGTGATGATACATGAGGACACAGTCCTTTAATATTTAACCAGGATTATTTTCTATTGAGCGGACACAAAGGGATCGGTTTGGTGTTGGAGGAAAAATAACTTACAGGTCATTATGTTGATGGAAAAATCACAGGGTTTAGACTTACAGGCATTAAAAGGGGCAGCCTTTAGAGTCCAAAAGTAAAAAATTAATGGTTAAAGATTTTAATTTCCTTTAAAGCCAAATACCCCCCAAGAGAACAAGAAAGCTGAGAAGGTCAGCATCCTAGTTTAACCCCCCTACTTCATTCAGTGTCGATAATCAATATGGAAATCAATATAAACAGCCGCATATTTCTGCAACAGACATCCGGTTCTTATAATATTAGCCTTAATGCTTAGAGACCAAAAGAATAAACAAACATGGTTTCTAAGGACATATGTATACTTTACCCTGAGCTTGGTTCAATGAAAGTTGTTTAGAGCTGCACTCATACAGTGAATAATACATTATAAATTATAAAGAAATGTATTATTACACAAATAACCTATATAATTTAGATTATTCAATATTGGTGGTGAGATTTTTCAGTTGTTTAAAAATAAATGTCATTTCAGGGTTTAGGATTTAAATGGTTAAAATAAGGACAAACATATTTCTTAAGAGGAGGCGTTGATTTTTTTTTTAGGATATAATGTAAAGAAATAAATTCTCAGTTCCAGGGCCAATAATAAGAGATAGATTTAAAAACATACTTCTGCTTCTTTAAGTCATTCTGCAGCAAAAATTCAGTTCATATGTTATTCAAAAAAAAAAAAACACTAACGCTTCAAAGAATAAAATTTTTTTTATATACTATATTTGAAACCACCAGTTGTTTCTTTTATCATTTTTTTAGCCATGGGTGATTCTAGACAGGGGGCCAACGGGGGCAAGTGCCCCTATAAATCATGTCCTGTTATTGCTCCTATACTAAAGAAATAATACTTAAAAGAAATTCTAATGATGATATGCCGTTGAACAGACATGGCTACTGATAGGTCCTTTGGATCTATTTCATTCTTTTTCTTTACAAATGATGTTTTACTAATTATTTAAAAACAATAAGGTGATAGCTTCAGTGGTATTGCGATAGGAATCCAGTTTTCATCTGCTGAATGTTTTTTTTTTAAACAAATAAAAAAAAATACTCAAATTTTTAAAGGTGAATTTATCATTTTTTCTTGAGTTCTAATTCAGATTTTAAAGAAAACGTTAATTTTGACTTAAATTAAGTGAAAAATATGTAAAATTCCTAAATTATGATTATATATTGATCTCATAAGAAATAGAATTTTAATTCAACCTAATTGACTAGAAATGTCACTTCATGCAGCTCTCTTAATATATTTTAATCCCTTGCCCTGTTTTTTATTTCATGCTTTTCTGTGCCCCCGTGAAAACACGCTGGCCCCCTCCTGGCCCCCTGGTACATTTGGTCTAGAACCGCCACTGTTTTTAGCAGCTACTAACAGTCATTGAAGAGGCTCCAAAGAGATTGTTGCACCAGAGTCATAGGTTGCAGACCCCTGCATTAGACACACACTGTATGTGCTTAGAAAAGTATTTAAAGCACTTTACTAACGTCTAACTTAAGGAATTAAGACAGTATTATGGATTTATGGACAGTATTCAGTCCTTTTTAAGCTGATAAATTAAAAGAGCATCAATCAGAGAAGCAACCAAGAGGCTTGTGGATAATGTGGAGGAGCTAAATCATAGTCTGTAAATAAAGAGCAAGATCCCAGAAACATGAGCTGAAATGAGGTTTTTCCATAGGGTAGCTGGACTCAGCCTTAGCATCGTCATGGGGAAGGATCCAGATTAGGATGATCTGGAAAGTCAGGAAGCTTTCTGGGCACGTTCCAGCATGCCCCGCTACAAGGAGACCACAAGGCAGAGTCAGAACCTGATGGATGAACTACATTTTCCCTCTGGCTGGAGACACCTGAGGATCCCAGAGAAAAAGCTGAAGAGCTCTGCAGGGGTGAGGAACAGCTTGGTGCAATGAGAACTTGAAGCTTTGCATAAACCATCAGATAAAGACCTCTTAAAAACAATCTCTGGGGATAAGGGATGTCTATTCACCTCCCGGACTTATAGATATAGGATGAACAGAAAATCATATCCAGCACGAGGTAATGGGACATTAGAAGGAACCTTTTTTGATAAAAATATCATTTTAAAACTGGAAACTGTAAAGTTTCAGGGGTTGTATCAGTTGATTGACTTTGAAAGCTTATATTTTGTTGACTTTAAGGCTGTTAGTCATGTTCAGGTAAATGCTGTCATGTCTCCTCTGACGGGAGCATGATCGTATCAGCAGAGAAATGCAGTTATATTCAGCCTTCAGACAGTGACACATGCATCAAACATTTAGTTTCTTTTTGGCTCTTACTTCCAATATGATTAGAGAAAAGGCAGAAGGTTGATCCAAGTTACCGAATAATGAAATCTAAAGAAGTCAGAAAGAATAATAGGACATCTAAGGTAGAGTTTAAATAGCAGGAAGGTATGATTTGGTGATGTTTTCAGAAATTGTTGCACTTAAGACAAAAACAATAATTGAGATGCTGTTTTGAAATTCAGTGATTACCTGGATTATACAAGAGAATCCTGTAATTTCACCCTAAATGAAAGCCGACCTGCTAAAATGAATAAATTATATATTAAGCTAAATAAACACCACAGAGATCAAACATATCAGCTTCTTTATTCACGCTCTTCACTCCTGTGCGACACGACACGGCGACATATGAGTGCGATGTGGCTAAAATGTAACTCAATCCGACACGAAAGGAACCACTGACACTAAATACACCCTGATCAGGCGCTCCTTTACAGGATAAATATCACTTCCTGAGCTTTATGAGTAAAAAAAAAGAAGAAAAACAGCCTGCAGAAGTTCATCCACACGTCCACAGTTGTCTCATTCACATAATAGGTTTGGCTGAGCGTTGCTGCCTGGTTTAAAGTGTGAGCAAGTGTTCGTCTCTCAGCAGCAGCACGTCTCCAGAGCCAGTTAAACACAGGGGTTCAGCTGCACCACAGAGGAAACCTTTTATTACGCCTCAGCACCCCGCATTTACAGAGACACTTACATGGGAGTTTGTACTGGTGCTAGGCTGATTTTGTCCTAAACCGCATGTGGGGGGGGAAAAAAACACAACAACAAATACAAAAACAAAAAGATAAAATCTTTTTTTTTCACAGATGATGCAAACTTTTTGCAGCCACAACCAGCAACTTAAAATACACTTTACATTAACTTAAACCTAATTTTTTTAGAGTTTTATGGTTGTTTTCCCACACATCATAATTTGGTAAATCATATTAAGTAGTTTTTGTTGTTGTTCTTGAAATACAAATAATAAAAAAGCTAATCCCAAAAAAGCTGTAACACTTATTATTATAATTGGCCACAGTTTATAAACTGCTATTGCAGATACTTATTTTACATGGAAGGAATGTGCTTTTACAGACAGCTGAGCGGATATATTTACACCATGTTGCATGCATGTAATTGATATGTTCAAGAATATTTTGGTTTTTCCTGCAGGTCATAAATTGCCACACAGTAAACTGTTCTATAATCAGGTGAGCTATTCTGCAACTTAAAGCCACCAGGGGCCCTGTGAGGCGTGTAGCGAAGCAACAACCCTCTGATGGCAAGTGTGAGGGCGCTAGCTGGGCTGTTTCCGATATACACATATACAAATATATACACACACACACATACATATATACCTGTATATATATATATATATATATATATATATATATATATATATATATATATATATATATATATATATATATATATATATATATATATATATATATATATATACACACACACACACATATATACAAAGATATACATATATATACAAATATATATACACACACATACATATATATATATACATACATAAATACACATATACATACATACACATATATATACATACATACATACACATATATATATACATACATACATACACACATATATATATATATACATATATATTTGTTGGGTTTTTTTTCCTAACTTATTTACTATAGAAATGTAATTGCCATCTCAGGACACATGGTGGCACTAGTTGTCTAAATTTGAT